AAAACAAGAACACGTAAAGATATATGATAAATATTGATTTATTTGATTTTTTAAAAACATACATCATAGTTCCATTTGTGGTACTCCAGAGTTTTGATGACTTTATTATTATTATAATTATTCTAACATGTGGGGGGAGGGCGATAATAAAAAAAGGAGTGTGTCTAAACTTTTGACGGGTAGTGTGTACACACACACACACACACACACACACACACACACACACACACACACACACACACACACACCGGTCAGAATCTGATCAGAATTAAAGTTAACATCAACAGTTTCTTACATTTTGTTCTTCTCTTCATTTGTCTTTAAAATTTTGTAATTTGTTTATATGTGTTATTATGTAAGTGTTTAGGGCAGGGGTGTCTAAAGATTTCACATATATATATATATATAGGGAGAGAGAGAGAGAGAAAGAGATAGCTATAGATAGATAGAAAGATAGATAGATAGATAGATAGATAGATAGATAGATAGATAGATAGATAGATAGATAGATAGATAGATAGATAGATACAGTGCCTTGCGAAAGTATTCGGCCCCCTTGAACTTTTCAACCTTTTCCCACATTTCAGGCTTCAAACATAAAGATATAAAATTTTATTTTTTTGTGAAGAATCACCAACAAGTGGGACACAATTGTGAAGTGGAACGAAATCTATTGGATATTTTAAACTTTTTTAACTAATAAAAAAATGAAAAGTTCAAGGGGGCCGAATACTTTCGCAAGGCACTGGAGATAGAGAGAGAGAGTAGATAGATAGAATAGAGATAAATAAGAGAGAGATAGAGATTGATAAGAGATAGATAGATAGATAGATAGATAGATAGATAGATAGATAGATAGATAGATAGATAGATAGATAGATAGATAGATAGATAGATAGATAGATAGATAGATAGATAGATAGAGAGAAAGAGAGAAAGAGAGAGGGATAGAGAGAGAGACATTAGAGGTGAAGCTGGACGTTTTTCCCTGGCTTTCAGCATCACCTCTCAGTACATCTCTCAGTACATCTCTCTGACCCACACACAGTCTCTCAGCAGCTTTACAGAAATCTGGATGTAGTTACTAATTCAGTCTTAATGAATAAACCCGAGGTGACGGCGGTGGGGAAGAAACGTCGCGAGGAACTCGAAAGGGAACCCGTTCTGTCCTGAGGGGCGACAGATAAATCTTTACTCTTGTACAATCCGCATGAGCATCAGTGTTTATGATTACAGCAGCAGCTTTTAAGTCTACAGCACGCAGGTAAGACTGAATAAAGAGCGAGACATTTCATACCACTGACCGTCAAAAGAAAGCTTAAAAGTCGTGTTAATTCTTCTGAAGTTCTGCCACACCGTGTTCTGTTCTGTTCTGCCAAATCGTCACCATGAAAATCACTAACGTTCCATCACAAACTCAATTATACTCTTCAGCGCTCGCATTTCTGTCGAAGTGAATCGTAACGCGGCGTTCGGCGAAAGCCGACAGTCCATCCCCGGCGGCTTGTAGGCGTTCCAGCATCGTGGACCGCACACGTACATCACGAGTGGATCGATAATTTATGCACCCCTCTATACAGCGCATTTCCTCCATCGCCGTTGCTCATCCGTGCTTGCGTATTCAATTAGGGAAGCGGCCTTTCAGCGGCGGGGCTGAAAAATATCCCTGCTGCTTTTCACAATAAAGCTCACTGCCTGCTGTGGTTACTCACATCTGCGCTCGCTCATCCCACTTCAGTGCACTTTCATTTAAATTCATCCGATACGAGGGAGAAAAGCACCATCCACCGACGTGTCGAAGTTTAACTACACGTCTTCGCATTTCGTTCGCTTGGCTCGACTAAATTTGACTTATTATTCATTTAAAAAGTGCGTCGAGGTGTCCTCCAGGCCATGAGGAAATCCTCGAGGGCGTTCCGACCGACACAACCCTTAGCTGATTAACCTTAGCAGGTCCTCCATTGGTTCGGCTTCTAGGGCTGCGTTAGCGTCGCGAGGGGAGGAGGAGGAGGAAGACGTGCATTTCCTCTCGAAGCAGGTGAAGAACAGCGGCGGTGGCGGCGGCGGCATGCTGCGGAGAAACCGCTGCTTCTGCACTGATAACAGAATTCATTTACCTCCCACTGCATCATTACCATCACAGCGAGCCAACTTCAAACGAGTGCTCGAGCAACACCGGGAGTTTATTTCCAGCTTTGAGTGGAGGAATTTTCATTCTCCATCTCGGCGTTTCATAAACAAAAAGTAAATACAAGGAAATTTGTATTATTAGATTTGAACACATTACTGTCGAAAACATTTTGTACATTTCGTAGACTCTACACATACTGCATCAGGGTTTTTTTGGGGGGGGTTTCGCTCGGTTCTTGAGGGTTCTTAGCAATTACTCGCACTCCTCTAAGTGATCACCACAGCTTTATCTATAATAACCTGAGCTCTGGGTGTTGGAACCTAGAATACACATGTCTATAAGACATCTATAACATAGTATATATATGTTATTACAGGGTTATAACCACACACGAGTGCTACATAGCGTCACTAGTCAACAAAAACAGCATCATGAAGTAATGAAGAGAAGATCCTGTTGATTATTTTCCGATAACATTACAACTGTAAATCTTTTCTTCCTTGTATTGTATATCAGAATTTCCAATACGCCAACGATTACGATGTTTAGTAATTAAACAACGACACGTCATACTTTTTTATCCGTTTAAAATTGTGGAACGCCGACGAAACAAGTTTCTGTTCTCACTTACGTCTGTTACTCACTTACTTACAGCAGCTATATAATTGAATTTATTATATTGTAAACTGATCCATTTAAATAAGAGAGAAAACGATAAAGAAAAGCAACGACGCAGCTCGTCATGTTACGGACCAGCCGTGAAGCGTAAACCCTGAAGGTGTTGGAAAGTTACAGCTTTACCTCGGAGTGTTTACATAGCGCCGACACTGGAGACTCCTTCCAGAACTGTTTATCTCCTCACAGAAATCTACTCCTTCATTTGAAGTAGTTTTAATAAAGTGTATGTGGAGTTTCAGCCATGTATTAAGTATTACAACCAATATAAACCGTAGTCAGAGAAGCCGTAAGGGAGAACTAATCACCATTGGACCGATCTGGACCGCTGTGGTGGTCAGTAATGTCTGTTAATGGGCTGTTAGATACTAGCCAAGTCTTACGTAAGGGTACAAAGACTAATCCTGCTCCGAGCCCAAGCCTCACCTTTTCGTACCATTTCAATTGTGTGAATTATTATAAATCACTAATCTCAGAGAGTGTTTGAACACAAGTAAATAGCAAAATGTCGCAGTAAACCAAAAAAAAAGAGCGCACGGACAAATTATTTGGGAGAAGTTCTCTTGGGAAATGCTATGATGATGATGATGATGACGATGATGATGATGATATGAGACACAGGCTCGGAATGTGTATTAAAAGCTGCACTTGAATGTCTCAGTGTCGACGCCGATCGAGGAATTCTCTTAACAAAGAGGCTTTTAAATGGCTGTCGTATAAACCCACGCGTCGATCCGCTTGTTCAGTTAGACTTCCGTCTACCCGTCTTTTGAGTCGGTGAGATTTGGAGTAATTATGCGGAGATTTAATGACAGACAACAAGCGAGCTGCGTCGAGCCGCGATACAACGGCGAGCACAAAAGCACGTGTACAAAAGCGCGGATAAAGTAAACAGCAATCATCGTGCAGGCCTGCGTGAATCGTTCGCTTGTTCTGGGAGTAAAATCGGCGAGGTACAGCTTCCACGCGGGATCAAAACACAAGCCTTCTCAAAGAGGAACTATTACTTTCGACTATCCATTCTATTTCAGGTCTTTGTTTAGAAACGGCAGTGAGACGCGGGTGTCCTGGTGCGTCGCTTAAAAAAAATAATAATTACTTCGTAGACGAAACGTTGAATTCAAACTGCAACCTGTTGCTTTCTCTATCATGGTGCGAGGGGACAAAACAGATATTCTGGAAACTGCATCAGACCTTTGCTTAAAACAGTGTCTGGGTCATGGAGCGAACTTATTCTATAGCCTGAATGAATCCACTTTGTCTGAACATCATGCGAGAGGAATTCCAACGAATCCGAACGCCATTTCGACGGATTTGATATAAATAAAATTAAATCCGCTAACGGCAGCCTTATCCGAATATTAACGCAAAATTGTAAGACATTCTAAGAAATAAAAACATTCTCGAATACCAGGTGATGCTACGTGACCTCGTTCTATTCGACACTGTTTTGAAGAGTAACGAACAGACGGTGAGAAATGCCAGCGATCGGGAGGGATTTCACAATTCGTGACGACGAAGCAAACTTTGTGAAAAGATCACCAGGCACAACTACGGCATCTTCCGACAATCCAACTAACCTGATCAAACATCTTAAACATAAAGCTCAGCATGAGGCGATAATAAAATCTCTGTGACGCTTGGTGAGTGAAGAGAACAGCTTTTCACCGGTATGTTGTTATTGACGATCGAACGCTATCCGCCCTCGACAACATGTGTCCTCTGAAGCAATAAAAACAAAACCGTCTGTTCCTTACAGCTGTACAGGAGCAAACACAAACCTGCTCTTCTCCACAAGATTATAATGAAAGGATGAGACGTCGAGATGGATGGACATAAAAATGGCGGTATTTATCAGTCTGGCCAAACTCAAAAATCACATCCCTCTTTATTATTAATCTTTTTTTTTAATTATTATTATTATAATATAAAAAATGACAGATCCAGTGTAATGTTCGATCTATCCATCTTCAGCCACTTACTCCTTTTCAGGGTCGTGCGGAACCTGGAGCCTATCCCAGGGAGCATCAGGCACAAGGCGGGGTACACCCTGGACAGGGTGCCAATTCATCGCATACACATTCACACACCCATTCTACGGACACTTTAGACACACCTACCATGCGGAAAGAAACCGGAGTACCCGGAGGAAACCCCCGCAGCACAGGGAGAACATGCAAACTCCACAAACACACGGCCTGGGCAGGACTCGAACCCCAGACCCTAGAGGTGTGAGGCGAACACGCTAACCACTAAGCCACCGCGCCCTGCCGTGCGGCATGTTTGGTTCCACTTCGGTCCACTTTTAGCTTTAGATCCAGTGTGTGTTTATGCAAATCTTATGGGAATATGTAACTGGGACATCACGGATGAACAAGAAATGACACACCAGGGGAGCTGTGTTTCACCCTCTGATCCAGACACGCACCTCACGATAATAAAACATAAAAGTAAAAAAAGATCTCTTAAAGACACACAAAAGGACACGGTGTCTCCTCAGAGCGCGCTGCTTTACTGTACTGTACATGCTGTTAACACTGAGAAGCCAAAACATTCGCTTATTTACTGAGTGCAGAAACACATCAGTATGTTCTGGAACATTTCCATCCGAACATCGGATAAAACTAATATCTCCAGCAATCACAAAAAATGGGAGATTTAAAAAATTATAATAAAAAAACAACCAGTAGACCTTGATGGGATGTCTCCACCGCCAGTAAGTCTAGTCCTTCATGATACTAATTTGCATCCCTTTAAGTAAATGGTCTGCATTTATATAGCGCTTTTATACAAAGTGCTTTACCCTGTGTTTCATTCACCCATTCATACACACACACAGAGCTGCCATGCGAGATGCTAACTTGCCATCAGGAGTAACTTTAGGGCTCAGGGTCTTGCCCAAGGATACTTCGGTATGTAGAGTCATGTGGGCCGGGAATCGAATCGCCAATCCTACGATTAGTGGACAACCGGGTCTACCACCTGAGTCACAGCCGCCTCTTAAGTAGCCTTAAATTATACTTAAGTATGTTGGGGTTGATGGCGAAATGTAAAATCAGCTCATCTGGTGGTAGCGACGATAAGTATGTACAAATTCGACATTTCAGTATCTCTTGTTGAGATACTGCACTAACGAGAATTTCCTACTGATGATTGCAGACAGCCAGAAAACAGGACGTTATTAAAGAAAAACCTATTTCCAAAGTTCGACCTTGCGGCGACATTGAGAACCTATCTGGATCAATTCCAAAAATCTCAAATCAGTGCGTCCTCTTGTTAAGAAGATAATTCCTTATATATCCTACAAACATGAATCCGTCGCGGTCGTTCTTGAGAGATCGCGCTAACGAGCGTCTCGGATGGACGCACAGACGGGTCACGGACGCAGACTGTTTTTAAAAAATGTACCGCTTGTTTTACACTTCACATACATGCATCTTTTCTATCAGCTTGCTACAGAAGAAAATGGAAAGAGTACAAAAAGAGGATTAAAGTGAGCGTTATAATGAAAACTAAAGCCAGAAGGAGGATTCGTTTTTTATATTTGTGGCAAAATATCATGATCGAGCACGTTCGCTTCACACCTCCAGGATCGGGGGTTCGATTTCCGTGTCTCTGTGTGTGCGGAGTTTGCATGTTCTCCCCGTGCTGCGGGGGTTTCCTCCGGGTACTCCGGTTTCCTCCCCCAGTCCAATCAATCCATTCATGATCCAATGAGGAATTTAAAAAACGCGACTGGGTGTGTTTTGCAAACCGTCTTTGCAAAACAAGTTAGTTCCTGTTCAGCTATAAACAGTCCTTCCCTCACTAGCCTCCCTTTTTTTCCCTCTCTCATGACGTTAATATAGCCCAAAAATAACGCAGCTTGTTACAGAGAAACTGTGTAAAAAATTTTATCAAATTTTAAAAAGTGTCAAATCTTTGGTCCTGAAGATGTCGGATAATTTAAAGTTATAGCTGTACCACTGACCCTTACAGAGTGCCGACGCTGGACACTCTCCAAATCCACGATTACACACATTTTTGTCCAACATACAAGACCCTGTGTACGTACTGACCAATCAGAATCGAGCATTAAAATAACACTGTGGTATAACATGACATCACAATCCTATAATAATAATAATAATAATAATAATAATAATAATAATAATAAGCTTTATTTTATAAAGCGCCTTTAAAAGCAGCTTCTCAAAGCGCTGTACACAAAATAAGCAGTACACAGAAAAATAAAACATATAAAAGTCAATAAGAACAACAACCTTAATAGTAATAATTATTATAAAATAATCATAAAAAAGACATCAGCAGTCAAATGCAAGTTTTAAAAAAGTGTCTTGAGTAGAGCTTTAAAAATGCCGAAGGTCTGAGCTTCCCTGAGTTCAGGAGGAAGAGAGATCCAAAGTGAAGCAGCGTAGACAGAAGAAGCCCTGTCACACATAGATCTCAGGAGGGTTTGTGGAACAGTTAACAGATTACACTGTGAGGAGCGCAATCTGAGATTTGGGGTGTAAGAGATTAATAAAGCAGAGCCAAGCCATGTAGTCAACATCATGATCTTAAAATGGACACGGAACCTGACCAGGAGCCGGTGTAAGGACTCCGGAACAGGAGAAATATGATCACATTTCCTGTTCCCCATCAGGATCCTGGCAGCAGAGTTTTGAACATATTGCAATTTGTTGGTTGTGGATTGAGAAACTCCGACTAAAACGGCGTTCCAATAATCCAGCCGAGTGACAACAGATGAGTTCATCAGTGTTTTCAGCCACAGAGAAGTTTAGCATTGGGCGCAGTCTAGCTATATTTCTGAGGATAAAAAATGGATGCCTTCACAGTGCTCCCAACCAAAGAATCAAATGTGAGGCTCTTATCCACATGACTCCAAGGTTCCTCGTTTTACTTTATGTATCTAGAACAGAGCCATCAACACGTGATTTTGAGTGAATGTAGATTTAGGTATCGTCAGCATAAAATTGATAATGGAGGCTGAGTGAATGCAGCAGATGCCCAAGTGGAGATAGATAAATATTGAAGAGTAGAGGGCCTAAAACTGAACCCTGAGGAACACCAGTGAGCACAGAGCTAGTGTCAGACCGATAGCCACCCATACAAATACACTTGGAACAGTCAGTAAAATATGATTTAAACCAGTTTAAAACTGTCCCAGAAAACCCAAAAACACTGTCAAGGCAGGTAAGTGAAAGACCATGATCTACAGTATAGAAAGCAGCTGTAAGATCAAGAAGAATAAGAATGGATGTAGCGCCAGAATCAGAGGTCATCAACAAGTCATTGGTAACTTTGACCAACGCCGTTTCAGTGCTGTGAAATTTACAAAAACCTGATTGAAGGGGTTCAAGGAGGTTATTAATGTACGATGCTTACATAGTTGAGAGGCAACACCACACTCATGTATTTTTGCCAAAAACAAAAAATTTGAAATTGGATGAAAATTGTTCAAATCATCCACGGAGACATTTTCTTTCTTTGGTACAGGTGTAACAGCAGCAGTCTTTAGTACTGTTGGAACGATCCCAGTCTCCAGAGATTCATATATAATGCTGGGGATAGTGGGGCACCAAACATCGAAGCAAGATTTAAATAGGTTCATGGGAATTGGATCCAGCAGGCAAGTGGTTGATTTCATGCTGGATAACTCCCTTGTGAGAGCCTCATAATCAAGCAGTGAGAAATGAGTGAAAGAAACACAAGTGAACCCAGATTGACAAAGGAGTGAAAAGGCAGAGTCGGGTGTGACACGAATTTCTTTGCGAACATTATCAATCTTAGAATTAAAAAACAGAAGAAAAAATCACGCTCCGGTTTCCTCCCCCAGTCCAAAGACATGTATGGTAGGCTGATTGGCGTGTCTAAAGTGTCCGTAGTGTATGAATGGGTGTGTGTGTGTGATTGTGTGCCCTGCGATGGATTGGCACCCTGTCCAGGGTGTACCCCGCCTTGTGCCCAATGCTCCCTGGGATAGGCTCCAGGTTCCCCTGCGACCCTGAAGAAGGAGTAAGTGATAGAAGATGGATGGATGGAAGAAAAGAATCACATATATGCTGAGAAACAAACAAAGTGATAGCAGTATTAACATGAAGCAATCTGTTTCTGGTTTGGAACAAGTGTCTGGGATTATTATGATTGCTTACAATAGCCTGAGAGAAGTAAGATGATCTTTCAGTCTCCATTAGTGCTCGATAATCACCCAGAAGATCCTTCCACGCTTGATAGTAGACGTTCAGGCCAATAAGGTGCCATTTGCGCTCCATTTTCAGACAAGCAGACTTTCTAGAGCGCAGATTGTCATTATACCAGAGTGGGCGAATGTGACCTTACGTGACCTTAGAGGAGCAAAAGAGTCAAGATTAGCAGCAAGAGCAGAATTTAACTCCAGGACTTTCTCCTCCAGCCATGAGGGAGGAAGATCGCTTAAGGTGGAAACAACCGAATTGGAGAAAACTGTCTGATTGATAGACGTCCACTTCCAGAAGGTTACTGTTCGGATGCTCGGCTCACTTGGACGATACAGTTCCAGGTTAAAAAAGACAGCCGAATGATCAGACAGTCCAATGTCTACAGATGAAAACTGCGATACAAACGAGCCGTTTGCAATCATGAGATCCAGCGTATGGCCCTGGTTATGAATCAGTTACAAACTGTGTGAAACTAAAACAATCAATTAGAGACAGGAATTCCTGAGTCACTCCGGTCCACATGAATGTTAAAATGTCAAACTTCATTCTCAGTACTGACAGGAAGTCAGCAAACTCTGACATAAAAGCTGCATGTGTCTTAGCCTTAAGTGGTTTATAGACTGTAGCGATGCTGGTAGATATAGGAGCGGAAATACTCAAGACCAGGCATTCAAATGATGAAAACTGGCGAACGGACACGGAGCTTATAATTACTAATAATTAGAAACAATCGCTGAGACATGCTTAAACTTAAAAAGGCAATATTTGATATTATTTTGTAATGTGCGATTATAAGATGAGTATGAAACACTGTGGGGGGTTTTTTCTGGCCATCTCTCAGTTCCACAACATTAAGTCCAACTACAAACCCTTAGAATTCGAATGAAATCTCTACTTCCAGCTCGTGCAGTATCACGCCGGCCGGGGTATGGTATTTTTGTTTTACTGCTCGGTCTGCCGCGTGTTATTCCTCACTTAATCACGACGCCTCGTGGTATTTTGTTGCCGATGTATTAAAATGATCACCATGCCCGTCAGTGAATCTGTAATCTGGTACCAATACAACG